TCGCAGAAGTATTCTGTGTTGTGAGAGTATAGTAGGAGAAACTGAGTTTGTTTTTTCCTGTATCCTCAGATCAGGGATAGAGCTCTCTATACCCAATTACCAAAGTGTGACAGAGACACAAAATGAGCACACGCTATTGGAAAAATGGCACCAATAAAACCATTAAGGATGGTGCTAAACTATTGGAAACTGTCCCCATGATCCAGTCACCTCCCACCAAGCCGTACCTCCAACATTGGGGATTACAATTTGATATGAGATTTGAGGGGAGAACCAGACCCAAACCATATCATGCTGTCATCCAGGCTTTGTTGTTCCATTTATAGAAGACAGGCAGGGTAGATGTAGTAAAGTTCTTAAGGGCCCTAGAACTTTCACAATGGTAAATAGGCATTGGCTTCAACTTCAGATCACCAGTTACGTTATCCCCTAACAGGAGAATCTGCCTGTCCTTTGAAGCCAGGCATTGACTTCTCTATAGCTGTGAAGGTCCTAGATAGCATCTTTTTCCACTAGAAGGCTGTGTCATGTACACTGAAAATCTATTGTTTAGTGTAGCCACATTAATCAGTTATCAATTGTATTTTTTTGTTGTAGAGATGCTTCTTTCCTTAAACCTCATGAACCAACCTCTACTAGCTTCAGCCTTTTCTTCTGCAGCTTCCTCACTCACTTCTCTCAGCCTTGACAGAATTGAGAACAGTTAGGAGCTTACTCTGGGTTAGGCTTTGGCCTAGGGGAATGTTGTGGCTAGTTTAATCTCTCCACACCACTAAAACTTTCTCCATATCAGCAAGAAGACTGTTTCGCTTTCTCCTCATTCATGTGTTCACTGGGTTACCACTTTAGATTTACTTCAAGAATGTTTCCTTTGCATTCACAATTTGGCCAGCTGTTCAGTGCAGGAGGCCTGGCTTTCCACGTGCCTTCCGCAATAAGCCTCATAATCATTGCTAGCTTTTGATTTAAAGTGAGAGATATGTGATCCTTCCTTTCACTTGAACGCTTAGAAGCCACTACAGAGTAACTGATTGCCCTGGTTTCAGTATTATTGTGTCTCTGGGAATAAGGAGGCCCAAGGAGAGAGGGAGAGACATAGGACAACAGCTGGTTGATGGAGCAGTCAGAACACAGAACATTTATCGATTAAGTTCACTGTGTTAGGTGGGTATGGTTCATGACACCCCAAGACAATTACAATAGTACATCAAAGATTACTAATCACAGATCACCATAGAAGATCCAATAATGATGACAACTGTGAAATACTGCAAGAATTACCAAAGTGTGACAGAGACACAAAATGAGCACACGCTATTGGAAAAATGGCACCAATAAGACTTGCTTGATGTGGGGTTGTCACAAACCTTCAATTTGTAAAAAACACACTATCTGTAAAACAATAGTGAAGCGCAATAAAATATTATGCCTGCAGGTTTCTGGCACACAGCTCCTAAACTTTTTGGCATCTCCAAAGTGTTGTGTCCTTTTGTATGCTAACGAGTTGACTGGTTAGCCCCTAGGTGGCTTCAGAATGGGGACTGGTCACAGGAAAGACCAAGGCATGATTAGAGAATTTAGACTTTTCAACCCCCAGGAAAGGAAAGGGGTTGAAGGGTAAGCCAATCACTAGCAGCCAATGATTTAATCAGTCACCTGCATAACACAGTTTCCATGAAAACCCAAAAGGACTGGGTTTGGAGAGCTTCTGGATAGCCGAACGTGTGGAAGTTGCTAGAGGGTGGTCTATCTGGAGAGAGCATAGAAGCTCCATGCCCTTTCTTATATGCTTTGCCCTATGTATTTCTTCCTCTGTTTCCTCGTGACATCCTTGATAATAAACCAGTAAATGTAAGTAAAGTGTTTTCCCAAATTCTGTGAGATGTTCTAATAAATTAATTGAACCTAAGAAAGGGGCTCATGGGAGCCCCTTGATTTGTAATTGGTTAGTCAGACGGACTGGTGAAACACCTGGGACTTGCAATTCGTATTGGAAGTAGAAGACAGTCCTGTGAGATTGATCCCTCAACATGTGGGACCTGATGCTATCTCCAGGTAGATAATAACATCAGAACTGAATTGAATTAGAGGACAGCCAGATGGTGTCCTGTGCAGAATAATTGCTTGCTTAGTGTGTAGAAAACACCCCACGCATTTGGTCGCAGAAGTATTCTGTGTTGTGAGAGTATAGTAGGAGAAACTGAGTTTGTTTTTTCCTGTATCCTCAGATCAGGGATAGAGCTCTCTATACCCAGACTGCGGTGAATACACCTGCCCTATTTTAACTTAATCTTTTCTCAAAGGTCATTTCAGATGCATGCAGTAAACTTATAAAAGTTATTAGATTGATTAGAAATATACACTTAATATCCTAATTGGATAAGGAGATGATTTGCTTTTCCTCGTTTTGTTAGATATTTTGATTTTTTAATGGTTGTTAAAAGGCTGTGAAAACTAAATGTTGTAAGAAGCATGTATGCAGTCGTTCATTACTGTGTGTGGTTTCTTTAGAGCATTGGTTTTTGGCATTCAGTAGGTGGGAAGAGGACTGGCTGCATGGTGTATCTAATTTTTGTAATGGAAATTATACAAAGTCCCTTCTTTCTGCACCTTCAGATCCCAATATTAATTATATTTTTAACCTGAGGACTTCAACAGTTTAATTCAGTAAGCATTTATTTAGTACTTACTACCTACTTGGGACTTTATTCATGTTCAGGGATATAACAATAAGTCAAGACAGATCTGACCTGAATAAATTTTTGTAGTCCATAACTTTTTTTTTTTTTTTTTTGAGACAGAGTCTCGATCTGTCGGCCAGGCTGGAGTGCTGTGGTATGATCTCGGCTCACTGCAACCTCTGTCTCCTGGGTTCAAGCGATTCTCCTGCCTCAGCCTCCCGAGTAGCTGGGACTACAGGCACACGCCACTAGGCCCGGCTAATTTTTTAATTTTAGTAGAGACAGGGTTTCACCATATTGGTCAGGCTGGTCTCAAACTCCTGGCCTCAGGTGATCCACCCACCTTGGCCTCCCAGAGTGCTGGGATTATAGGCATGAGCCACTGTGCCCAGCAACTACTGTAATTTTAAAAAAATATACTTGTAATTATCAATGAGGCCTAGACTAAAAAACATTCCCTCAATGCTGTCTGCAAATGCAGACACCAAATCTCTTAAGTTACTGAATTAATTTTCGTTCACTCCTTTCATGTGCATAAAGAGACTTATTTTAGGGCACTCAATGTGTTTTCATTTGTATTATAAGAATTATGTTTTCTATATGTTTCTACAAGTATAAGTTTTTTCTTCATCATTAGTAACCCAGGTCATTCTTTCTGGAAGTATTATGCTAACTAGTATTTTCTTAATGTTAGTTTTCTCATAAGATTCACCTTGAAACTATGTGTGAAGTAAAGAAAATCTACCTTCAGGATGAGTTTAGAATTTTGAAGAAAAAGTCCTTCACTTTTCCGAGAGACCCTAAGTCAGTTACAACTGATACAGGCAAGTAATGAAAGAAGAAGAAATATATATAACCACTTAATTAAAAGGAAAGCAATTTAATCCTGCTGTGTTATATTAAACATAACTTCATATTTCCATATAAAATTTAAACATGAAAAATAAAAACCATAATGTAATAACATTCACTTCATTTCACTATCCGTTGTTTTCTAGTAAATTAAACTGTGTAGGGCATTACATCTTACATACAGCTCATAATGTTTTGATCAACAATCAGAATATATTGTAAATCCAAATAAAACAAAAACCTGCAGCTCTTAAAGGTGACATGATTTCACCCAAATCGGATTGAAAATGTGTATTTTGGGGACTAAGATGCAGCTTTCCTAACTCCAATTCCACAACTCCTCTGAGAATTGCCATGATTTGAAGAAATACACTCAGTGAACTAGCATATGAAATATTCTACTGTTCTGAATTCTTCAAATTTTTCCATAGGAGAGGGGAATTTGAATAGGAATAGTGAGGGAAAACACCCAGTTGAACTAAACACGAGGTGGAGTGTAAAGTATTACGAAAGATTTTTAGAGAAATAATTTAAATTTACTTTGTCAAAATGTATGTGTCCAAATTTGAAGGAAAAACATTTGAAATGCCATGGTTTTAAAATTATACCCAAACAAGATGATGTTAATTGCATTAAAATTGCTTTAGCAAATATGCCTCATAATAATTACTAAGGAGTGTGCTACAAAGTCATCTCTTGCCTTCCTTTTTCTTTCTTTGTTTCTAGTCATTGTAGTCACATGCACTGCTGTGGTGGTGGTTCCATTTGCAGATAAAGTCTGTTTTTCTTTTTTTTCTTAAAGAGATGTGGCCTGTCTATGTGGAATTGACCAATGAAAAGATATATGGCTGTGATTTCATTGTCAGTGCTACAGGAGTTACACCAAATGTAGAACCTTTTCTCCATGGTAACAGTGTAAGGTGAAACTTTTTTGTCCAGCTGTGAATATATTTGAAGTATTTTTGTGAAGATCTTTAGTTCTCAAACATGAATAATAATTATTGTAGTATACAACTGTAACTTGATATGGTTGAAAACAGTTTGGTTAAAACATTGTCTTGATTTACAGTATTTCTTACTGCTTAAAATCCTTACATAGTTACATCCTGGCATAAGCGTCATCAGTAATGGTTTATAATGTACAATTTGTTTATCTAAATGTTGGTAAGAGACTGACGCCTCCTGTGACTTCTCAGAAGTGATTCTTTTAGAGAAACCATCTTGTATTTTTTGCTTTTCAACACTTGAAGCTTAAAAAAGAAAAAAAAGAATATTCTTATAGTTATGGGTAGGGTAGCAAGATGGTTATTGGATACTTTTCATGTTGAAATTCTAAGAATTTTATGGATCAATCTTAGTTGGAATTTGATCCATGGAAATTCGGCTGACGTGTCTCTAAACTTTGTGGCTATTTTTCATTTTCTCATTAAAGATGAGCATGCCAAAGTGTAACAATTTAATTTGTTTTTACCTTAGAATGGAAAAAATCATGTTTCTTTTTTTTTTTTTTTTTTTACCACTTACGCTTACGGGGAACATTGTTTAGTTTAATCTAGGAGAAGATGGTGGCCTGAAAGTGGATGATCATATGCACACATCCCTTCCTGATGTCTATGCTGCCGGTGACATCTGTACTGCATCCTGGCAGCTGAGCCCAGTCTGGCAGCAGGTAAGCTAGCATATGTGATCATGTTTTTATCAGAGATTCTGTCTGAAAATAAAGCGGTTGTTACCAACAAATCCAACTTCTGGTTTTCCAACTTTGCTGCTTAAGTGGGAAGCTAGCACAGAGTTGTTATATATATTTAAAAAAAAAAAAAAACTAGAATATTTCCCTGTTTGGTAAGTTATTATAATGGTAGATTGGGCTATCTTTTAATTTAAAGGAAATTATGGGCTGTCACTTTGTTTTTCATTCTTACATGCTTGTCAGCACTGTCCAGAACTTTTTGTGATGATAGAAATGTTTAATTCTGCACCATCCAGTCAGGTAGCCAGCAGCATATAACATGAGCACTTGAAATGTGGTTAACGTGACTGAGGACCTGAATTTTTATTTTTACTTACTTTTCATTAACTTTAAATAGCTATATGTGGCTAGTGGCTACCATGTTGGACAGCACAACTTTAGATTTAAAAAACTACTAAGATTGTAAATTATATAGATAAAGCATTCTATTCCTGGATGATCCTATTCTGTCCCTGTGGTAATTATTACAACAAAATGTTCCTGGCCGGGAGCGGTGGCTCACGCCTATAATCCCAACACTTTGGAAGGTCGAGGCAGGTGGATCATCTGAGGTCAGGAGTTCGAGACCAGCCTGAACAACATGATGAAACCCTGTCTCTACTAAAAATACAAAAAATTAGCTGGGCACGGTGGCATGCGCCTGTAATCCCAGCTACTCAGGAGGCTGAGGCAGGAGAATCACTTGAACCTGGGAGGCGGAAGTTGCAGTGAGCTGAGATCACGCCACTGCATCCCAGCCTGGGCAACAAAAGCAAAACTCCGTCTCAAAAAAAAAAAAAAGGTTCTTGTCGTAAACACCTTTCCTGAGCCTTAACAAGTCCCAACTAGATCTAGACTTTTTCCAACCCTCACAGCTTTACCTACATCCTCCTAACGGTGGAACAAAAATACTAGAGGAAGATAAAGACAGTGACCAGAGGTGTGCAGAGGGGTAGAGACCTAGGTAGATGTTTGAGATAAAGGAACCCTGCAACATTTATCTTTGTTAAAGACCAGCTCCACAATGAGGGACTTTATTCATTCAGATTAACTATGCAGTGTGAAGTAGTAGAAGAGCTAAAAGTATTTCAAGAGGCAGCACCATCATTTTGTGTTCTTACAGACAGTAGAGACATCAGTAATAGGTGAGTGGTTGCAGCCTTTTCGTTTCTAACCTGCCTCATTCTATGTCATTTCTGTGGCAAGACTATCACAAATTCTTAGAGTTGGAATTTGTGGGTTTTTTTTTTTTTTTAAACATTTTTAATTATCCGGGGTAAATTATATCTTAATGTGTTAAAATCTGAAAGAGGGAAAAAAAAATCCAAAAACAAACAGATGTCCCTTGTTTTGAGTGCACTTTATAGACCCCATGTCTTGGCTTACACAAGCAATAAGGATACTAATTAGTTTATGCAGTTCAAGATGCAAATTTTCAGGCCAGTTCCATTAGCTGTTCTCTAGTTGTAACTGTGCTCAGTTTTTTCTGACCCCCAGCCATAAACTGCCTTTCACTTTATCAAATCTATACCTTGTTTACAGAGGAGATTGAAAAAAAAATCTGTATCACTTCTGCTAGAAAGACTTAAAGCTCATGTCTATGATTATGATGTTATTTCTGCAAACAAAAGATAGCATTAAGTACATATGCACATACAGGGAGGTAGAAGGAAACCAAGTGCTTATTATAGGCCAATCTATTTAATTCTCTCAGTAGTTATGGAGTAGGTAGTGTTATGTTTATGTTTCAGGTAAATGAACTGAGGCTCAAGAAAAGTTAAATATATGTGTAGATCTGGTGATATTAAAATCCACTGTGACTTCCAAGGTCAGTGTTCTTTTATACCAGGGAGTCTCAAAACTTTGTGGAAATAAAATAAAAATACAATACAGGATAAATTAATGCTGTCATACAAAACAATTTAAATGACTTCCCAGAATCAGTTGCTGAAATATTTATGTTATCCTGGGGTGAGGCACCAACAGTCTGTCTGACCACTGAGGTCAACAGCACGGCAGACCTTAACTAGCGCATAAAAGTGAAGGTTGCTGGAAAACAGAACAAATGCCTCAGTGATAATTTGACATCTCTATTAATGGTGATGACAAATTTTTGAAGAAGGGACTGGTTAATTAAAACATTTTTCTCACCTGGTATAGCTTAATATAGTTTCATAATATTTAATAGAAATGTTACTAAAACAGGCATGATTGGTACCATCTTTTAATTTTAGAGGCAGTAATTTAGATAGAATTAACAAATAACAAAAATCAGTCTGAGTAGTTGTCCATTGGTGACTGCTTCTGTGGCAAAGATGACAGAAAGACTCTCAAACATTGAACTCCTTTAAGTGAATTTACGAGGTTAAGATAACATTTTTCAAATAATGATCATGAAAAATGACATTGTGTAACATTTTTTCACTATTTCAGATGAGGCTGTGGACCCAGGCTAGACAGATGGGATGGTATGCAGCAAAGTGCATGGCTGCAGCGAGTTTAGGAGACTCCATTGACATGGATTTCAGCTTTGAACTGTTTGCTCATGTGACAAAATTTTTTAACTATAAGGTAAGATAGTTAAGCATATTAACGCCTTCTCTGCTTGTTAGTCTTATGACTATGGTAAATTGTCTAATTTTCTTGCTTGAATAAAAATGTACATAGTTTTAATCATCTTACAAAAAAATGACATTTTTCATTTCTTACAAACCAATACCTGGTATTATTGCTGGTCCTAATCCCTAATCATCTGATAATTATTATCCACCTTACTACTATTCTATTTTAGTTAAGAGGGGAAAAAAATTCTCTCCAGATCTGTTCCCTGTTGGTGCATTTTTAACTTTTACTTGTGATTCATCCTTTCTTTGTGAAGGGAACTAACAGCTATTGTACACAAAAATAAACCAAGTGCCTTCCTGTATGTATTATCTTATTCAGTCCTCTTTACATTACTCTGACGAAGGTTGTTTTGGGTTTTTTCCCCCCCCACTAATTTACAGAGAAGGAGAAATGTACTCAAAAGGCTCAGGGAAATTAAGTCACTTGTCCATGAAAGCTCTAATTCAGTTCCTTGCCAAATCTTTAAACCACGACCCCACATCGTTTAATGTATCCACATCCTACATATTTATATATTCACTAGTTTTAATGTTCATATAGATTGGTAGAATCACCTACCTATATTCACTAGATATTTTTAGTGTTAAAACACTAATTAACATTAATTACTAATATTAATTAACAATTACTAATAAATAACATTAATATTTCACTATATTCACCAGAATTTTTTAGTGTCAGTGTAGATTGTGTGGCGGTGTCATCTGTAGAATTAATGCATGCTATTCAAACATTTTCTTTGGGACTGTCCCCAATAACATTTTTAGTTATAAAATTTTCTGGCATCATTTTTCTGCTGGCTATTCTAACATGACACAAAATAACTACCCATTACATTTTCTGTTTGATACTCATGACAATAACCTTTTTATCTCTATACATAGGTTGTACTGCTGGGAAAATACAATGCACAGGGCTTAGGTTCAGATCATGAATTAATGCTGAGATGTACCAAAGGACAAGAATACATCAAAGTCGTCATGCAAAATGGACGAATGATGGGAGCTGTCTTAATTGGTGAAACTGATTTAGAAGAAACATTTGAAAACCTAATTTTAAACCAAATGAATCTTTCATCATATGGAGAAGATCTGCTAGATCCAAATATTGATATAGAAGATTATTTTGACTGAAAATGGAATTTCTTCAAGAATCATATAAAGTTCCAGATGACACCAGAAGAATCACAAGTCAATAAAATCAGTGACTGCATTGAGTTAATGATGACCACACTGAAAATTACTGAAGTGATAATGGTATTAGTGGAAAAGTATAAAAACATAAATTCCAAGTTTGAAATCAGTTCAAATAGTTTATTTATAATCTTTCCAATACAGCACTGACCACTTAGATAAAAATCTTATTTATTTCTATGTTTTAAACATAAATATGTTTACTTGTGATTTAGCTTTGAAGCAAATTTAGCTAAGTTACCTACTTAGCCAAATGTACTCTAGTAGACTAGAACCATTACTTGTGAAATGTCAAAATATGACTGTGGTTTCAGGAACTTTAAAATCGGTTTTATTTTACTTTAAATAGAGATGTAGCAGTATCTCGTCTGCTAATATTTATATTGATGACTTACTCCTTTTTTGTTTGAATTGTGCTTCTGGTTTTATAACCTGAAATCATCTTGTCCAACTCTAGCCCATGGGCCTAATGCAGCCCAGGACAGCTTTGAATGCAGCCCAACACAAATTTGTAAACTTTCTTAAAACATGAGATTTTCGCCGGGCGCGGTGGCTCAAGCCTGTAATCCCAGCACTTTGGGAAGCCGAGACGGGCGGATCACAAGGTCAGGAGATCGAGACCATCCTGGCTAACATGGTGAAACTCCGTCTCTACTAAAAAATACAAAAAAACTAGCCGGGCATGGTGGCGGCCGCCTGTAGTCCCAGCTACTCGGGAGGCTGAGGCGGGAGAATGGCGTAAACCGGAGAGGCGGAGCTTGCAGTGAGCTGAGATCCGGCCACTGCACTCCGTCTCAAAAAAAAAAAAAAAAAAAGAGAGATTTTCTTGCAATTTTTTTTTTTAAGCTTATCAGCTATCGTCAGTGTTAGCGTATTTTATGTGCGGCCCAAGACAATTCTTCTTCAGTGTGGCTCAGGGAAGCCAAAAGATTGGACATCCGTGATCTATGTATTTAACTTAAAGTATCAGTGAGCCTCTGTCAGTATAATATTGCTTTCAAAAAGATAGTTATGTCAAAAGAAAAAATATAGCTAAGTATATAAAGGCATAAAAAACTTAAGACAATTATATGAACTTATTCTCAAATATTTTATATATAAAGTGTTTTACATAAAAATTTTTCCCTTGTATTATACTGGAAAATTATATAATTCATGATCTCTAATTTTCAAACGTTCTCAAAAGTTTAGATCTTCAGAGATAAGCTCTGAAAATATAGATTCATACATATAAAGTATCAATGAAATTGCTTTAAAAATTAAACTTTTATCTAACTACAAAAATAACGGCATATACATGCATAAACCATCTTTAATTAGAAAATTTAGTAACGTTCATTTCAGGCATCATCAATTTTTCTTTTCTTAGCTCCTGTATTCTTAGAACCAGATTGCTGAAGCATGTTTGCAGCCTTCTTCTGGAAGTTGCCTGAATTTTTTTCCTCCATCTTTTTATCACCTTGTTCAGAATGACAAGTTTGAGATGATTCAGCCTATGAAAACAGTAACAAAGCAAGCACCTTGGTAAAAATTCAGCCATTCAGTTTTCTCATGAGATTAAAGATTTCAAAATATTCTTTTTGTATCAGTTGGCTTTTTAAGTATACAGGGATCTAGTGTTTTTTATCTGCAAATGTCTATTCAAATATGAGCTCTATTTTGAATAAAAGGGGCTACACTGTGAGAGAAGTTCTAAAGACCTCAAATGTCCTGAGACACAATGGCACCTGACATGCTTTTGCAGACTTATTTTTAACAGTGGTTTTTAACCACTGGAACAGCAGAAACAGACTTCTCAACTATTAATAATCACAACCAAATAAGAGCAGGGAGCATAACAAAATTAGATATTCAAATGGAGTCCTCCCATTCCAAGACATTGGAAACCCCTAGTTTATGTTAAAAGGCCAGTCTAAATTCTTTCACTTATATCTTTACAGAAAACTATGTTTTCTCTCTTCCATACCCAGAAATCTAATCAGAAAACTGGACCTAGGGAATATGACAGAAAAGCATCCCATAGGCTTTAATATACTTTTAAAATATATAAAATATAATATACTTTAAATATATAAAACTGAAAATTAATAGCCAGTTACCCTGAAAGAGTTCTGTGTGGACTTTGTCACTTGCATAGTAATAGCATGTGCGTCATTGTTCAGAAGATTAGCTTTAGGTCCTATTTTCAAATATGAAATGGTAGCATAAGCTGTAAAACTGTAGTCTTCTCTGCATAAAATAAAGGCCAACAATAAGAAAGTTTTTGAAGGAATCACAGAAAACAAATTTATAAAAGAAATAACTGCAATAATTTTTAACACATTGACTTGAAATAATAAAACAAGAATGCAAAGAAAGCCTTTAAAGAAAATATTTTTGTTACACTTTTTGATTTATAGTGATTAAAGTTTGAGTGTTTTAGGTAAATTTCTATAGCATTTAAAAGTTCACACAAAATAACTGCAAAACCGTGTATTCTGTTGCAATTACAAAGAAAAACCATAAAGACAACCTGAAAGGATAATGAATGGGTTTGTACATACTTAAGATACTGCTGTATTAGAAAGTGTGCAATAATCTTCTCCAGGTCTTCACGAGGAAGTGTGGGAGCCACAACACCTGCTACTCTCAGTTTTGCTGCACCCTTTCCCATCCAAGAATCAATCAGTTTCAATGGAGTGAGTTTTTCATTCAGTTCCTCTGCCTGCTTCAGGATCTTGATTAGATCTCTGCAGTACTCTGTTATATTCTTTCTTTCAAATGCTGTAATAAAACAAATATGGTAGCAGGTAACTGGGATTTAGAAATGAGGGCAAGGATAGGCTATCTTAAGTGGTTAAACTGGTTTAAAGCTGGTTATCAATGTGAGCCACCCTAAACACTGATTTTTAAATGTATTCTGAATGAAGACTAGCCTATTCCTCAAGTCTCTGACCAAGTTATGGTCTCTACATTGTGGGGTTTACAGTGATATTAAAAAAAAAAAAATAGTTATCAGAAGCCCTGCCATATACTCTAGATGTGTCTGCTAGATGTGATTAAGTTACTAAGAGGTGTGCTGTATAGGAGACCCTGTCTAGTTATAGGCTCCTGTGTGATCTGATTTAGCAACAAGAATGTCCTCAACTGATACCTCGATTATTAACAGACCAGTACTCTGATTTATATATAACACTCGTTATTTTATAAGATGGTTTAATAAACTCATAAATTTCTCTGCAAAGTTAAAAGTGTAGTGGCTTCCACCTAACAAGGCATCAGAACTCAGTAAGGTCTTACCATGAGGTACTGGCTGGTCCGGATCTTCAAATACAACACACAGATGACAAAAAGTTAAAATACAGTGCCAAAATGATGCAGGCAAATCCCAAAATTGGGACTCAGCCCAGGAGGGTTCCCAGTTTCATGCAAGAAAGAATCTGAGAGCAAGCCAACAGAGTAAAGTGAAAGCACAGCAAGTTTATTAGCAATAGAGTATAGAAAATGGCGGCTCCACAGACAAAGTAGGGTTACCCCAAAGGCAGAGTGGCACTGTAGATTGCTCACTAGCGATATTTACAGCTACTCCTTAGTTACATGCTAAATAAGGGGAATATCATTCGTGAATCTTCTAGAAAAGGGTATGGAGTTCCTAGAACCATGTAACTTTCGGGCATTGTCACGGCATTTGTAAACTGTCACGGTGCTAGTGGGAGTGTCTTACAGCATGCAAATACATTATATTTTCTAGTTCTAACTGGTTTGGGCCAGTTTCTTTGCTATATCTTGTTTGACCAGATCCTGTTTTGATCAGCAGGGTTGTGATCAATGCTCAGAAAACAAGTCCTGCTGATCTACCTTTAAAAGAATTTTAAGTAAATCTCCTATGACTAATTAGCCATTAACTGGATCAAAAATGATTCTCTATAATCTCTATTTTGCACTAAATTTTCTTCTCAATTAGTGACTATAAAGTATTAGAGATTATCACATGGTTAGTATTTTCTTACAGAATAGCATTTCTATTCAGAAGAATTCAAATATTTTCCTTCATTTCTTAAACATTTCACATCCTCGGTATAGCAATATAAAATGTGTGCATACACATAAGACTTTTCCTTTTATTCACCTTTGTTTCAAAACTTCATGTTGATACTTTTAATTCTGGAAAATCTGAGTCACACTTTAATCTTTTAAATCCATTTGGAAGTCTAATACTTCTCTCATGTCCCAGCTGTATATACAGTTGTATGTGTGCCACATAATATTTTGGTCAGTGATGGACCACGTACATGCCAGTGGTCCCAAGAGATTACAATACTACATTTTTACTGTACTTACTCTATGTTTAGATACACAAATACTTAGCAATGTGTTACAGTTGTCTGCAGTATGCAGTACAGTAACACGCTGTACAGATTGATAGCCTAGGATCAATAGGCTATACCATATAACCTAGGAGACTATACCATCTAGGTCTATGTAACTACACTTTGATGTTTGCACAATGACAAAATCACCTAGTGATGCATTTCTCAGAACATATCTCCGTCACTAGGCAATATATGACTGTATTAGCCTATAAAGGTTTACAAAACAACAAACTCACCACTGTCTTTACAGCAGTTATCACACATTTTGTTACAGGCTTCTGAGTTCCATACTTCATCAAAATGTTGAGCTATCAACACACGACGACATCTGCAAACACATTTAAAGATACAGATTATTAGAGGATATCATAAAGTTTTAAGAATCTCAGATTACACCATTATATACTGTATTCGCTTCCTATAACTTCCTTAATATTACCATAAACTTAGTGGCTTTAAACAACACAAATTTATTCTTAACATTTCTGTAGTTTAGATTTAGAAGTGTACTATGGGCCGGGCGCGGTGGCTCACGCCTGTAATCCCAGCACTTTGGGAGGCCGACGCGGGCGGATCACAAGGTCAGGAGATCGAGGCCATCCCGGCTAACACGGTGAAACCCCGTCTCTACTAAAAATGCAAAAAATTAGCTGGGCGTGGCAGCAGGCGCCTGTAGTCCCAGCTACTCGGGAGGCTGAGGCAGGAGAATGATGTGAACCCGGGAGGCGGAGCTTGCAGTGAGCCGAGATCACGCCACTGCCCTCCAGCCTGGGCGACTGAGCAAAACTCTGTCTCCAAAAAAAAAAAGAGGTGTAGTATGGGTTTCACTGGATCAAAATCAGGGTGTCAGGTTCTTCTCACATCATACAATCTAAAATAATCTCCCCATTTTAAGGTTAGCCAATGAACAGTCTTAATTCTATGTGCAACTCTTAATTTCCTTTTGCCATGTGAGGTAACATACAGGTTAGGAATTAGGACATGAACATCTCTGGGGCACATTGTGCCCCCGACATAGGATTTTTTTCCCCACATATTCTTGATAAACACTGTTTAAAAAATTGTCTGAGTTCCATTTTTAAGTTCAATGTTTTACAACTATTAGGAGAATATTCTTGACAGTAAAATAGTTTCTTATATTTTTAAGTAGCAATATTTGAGTCGAAGCCTTAAAATATGCTTCATG